CAGCGACTCTAGTGGTGGCGTCGGTTGCTCTCTAATTCCGGTGACGAGAGGATCGACAGCCCCGGCTGAAGAATCGGGGAGAAGGGAATGGGTTATTTATGGATTTCGAATTTTTCTTTTATTGTCGTCATTATTATTTATTATTATTTATAATAATTTATAATGATAACAACGGATGAGCAGTTGGAGAGTCTAGGTACGGTTTCGTAAATCGCGCGGTAATTTCACGGGGAGAATAGACTTACGGACGTTAGCGCGTCTGTTATTCTCTAACTCCGGTTCCGAGGGGGCCGACAGCCCCGACGTTCAAATTTCAATTTGAAATTTCATTTCAGTTCAGAGGGTGTAAAAGCATCCCTTGTCTTTCCACACACCCCTGGCAGTCGAAAGCTCACTTTTCCGCACACGTGTGGAAATCGAATGTTTCTGCACACGTGCGCAAAGCGATCATTTTTTTCACGGTGTGAATTTTATCGATTTAAATAACGAACGCCAGGCGTGAGTTGGTCAAGACTTTTCGCACGTCGTGCGTTAAAATCCAGATTTTCCGTACGATACGTAAGAGTAAAAATGAAGAACCTCTAAAATGGCAAAACGGTGGGATCTCACTTCCGTTGTGATTCGAGGCTGGGTTTGTTCCCTCGGTTGAGCATTCCTCCCTCATATCGATCCACCACCCCCACTACCTCAAAAACCATCCCCTCTCCAAATCCATCACCACCCCCCCCCCAGTGGGGGTTGCAGAGCTAGAGTATAGAGGGGCGAGTGGTTGTGCCCTGACTCCAGTGGCTGCCCGGCCACCACGCCGGCACAATCACCCTCCATTAAACCTAATTAACCCTAATCACCCCTTAAAAACGTGATATTCATTATCCATTGGTATACGCACACCAAAACATATCTCAAATTCGAAATCGATTCTCCAAATTTCAAATTTAAGTCGTTCGCGCGAACGTCGACTTTGCTGATCATGAATAGTTAATCAGTTAATCAGTTGATCGGTTAATCAGTTGATGAGTTATGGGGCAACACCGGAGACACTGATTGTTGTCTTTTTGGAATGTGAGGATTCATTGCCCTTCGATTTTCTCTGTCCAGTGCAACTTTATCCCCGTAAGTTTCAGTAATGAGTATCAGTATTTAGGTGATTGTTTATCGCGGCGTTAATTGTCGGGAGAAATACATTTATTTATGTGACGTGCTTTTATTTGTCATCGGTTACATGCTTTATATTCTTTTTAACCCTGTCCTTCGTTGCCTCCCGCGTAATAGTATACATTTATCGTTAGTGTCAAGGCTCAATTGTAATAACGCACGAGTCAAATAGTGTAGCGATAAGAATCACATGAACGGTGTGAGGGGCATGCTTTTTCAAAAATTCATCAGTTGACATTGCGCTCTGAACTCGCAATGCATTCGGACATTTATTTTTGTCGAGCGTGTTGTGTACGAAGAGGGAAATATTCATTGGGAATTTATTTGCATTCGTTGTTCTCGACAAATTCCATGGGTTTGCCATTGAAATTTTCCGGAATTCGCGGAAAATTTTCTTGTTTACGATTTTCCGATGCGCGATATTAAGAGCTGATTGTCTTTGAGATTTTTTGGGATTACTGTGGCCCAGACGATGAATTGAATTTTCCGGAAAATTTTCTGGAATTTCCGTGGGAATTTTCCAGAATTTTCCAGGGAAAGATTTCTCATCTCATTTTTTGTACCTGTCATTTGAAGTGATCTATCTCCGAAATTTTCGTTTTCGCTAACAGCAGCCCAAAAAGAAATGGAATTTCCC